TCATGAAGCGGTGGAACCATTCAAACCTTTACCACAGGTGGAGCTTCATCTGACTTTGAAGGGGTAAACTTAGATCTGAAGGATCCTGCAGAGAAAGAACTAGACTGATAATTACAGGACCGATGATATGATGTGAAGGCGACCTGAGCAAGGACTTCGGGAACACGCTGATATATTTACTGACAGTTGGAGCAGTCCCGTCCTTTGGCCTGTTGGTCTGGAGCTGATGGGTGTGATGCTCACCGACTACAAACGCTTACAGTTTGTTATAAAATCATGACTTATGACAGACTGTTGATATGAGCGTCAGGATAAATCCCTCGCTGCGTCTTTGACATTCGCCAGAATAAAAAGCAGCGAGGCAGCTCTTCGCCTCGGAGCAGCTCCGCGTACTGGAAACGGTTGTTTGTCAGTTGGCTCGAATCAGACTCCATGTGCGCTTGATGTCCTTGGTTTTGGCTCTGGCCTGGCATCCTCGTTGCATGTCTCAGACTCAGAAATGTCAACAACTTATCTTTCAGAATGAAATGTTCCCCGCGTCCTGCATGCCACACGAGCCAGACCCGCCAAAGGAAAACCACATTTTCTCCAAACTGTGTCCCGATCTGCTGCGCTCAACGTTTTCTGAAGCGAGACCGGTGGGTCCGGAGCAGGAACCCGAGGTCCGGGGTATCTGTTTACATTTCACGCTCAAACGCACGCCCACGATTCCTCCGATACAGGAAGTGCCCTCAAATATACACAGGCTATAAAAAGTGTTCACACCCCCGCGGTGTCCATCGGGATTATTTCTGTACCACATTCAATCACAGCAGAACGCCTTCCTGAAAGCACCGGAGCAAACACGGTGCAGGAATTCCTCTCAGAGAGGGAGAGAGCTGTAGACGTGCACACAGACAGTCCTGGAGAAAGAAAGTACACCCCAAAGGTTTACATATACATGTTGCATGAGTGAGGTCCACTTTTACTGCTTCCACTGGGATTCAAGTAACAGCCAGGCGCTGCTAATCAAATGCACTTGATTAACTGATCGTCACTGAGTGTCAGCACCTCCATCAAAGCCAAGGTTTTGGCAGTTTTCTGGTCTGCAGCCAGACTGTGCAACGCTCAAAGAAACTACAAACAAGCCTCAGTTAGCATGTTAAACTTTTTGAGAGCACAATTAGATAAAGACTGAATAAGTGTGGCTTATTTGGAAGCCTCGTGGCCTCGTCTGTCTGTAAAGAACAAGTTTGGCTGCATCCGAACGAACCGCAAGACGTCTGGAACAAAGTGGCGGTTTTTGCCCGTCGTGGACGGCAGCACAGTTGGACAAACCAAAACGCAGCATGTCAGCACAAATACCTCAGACCGACTGTCAGCTCAGCGGCGGAGGGCTGATGATGCAGCCTCATTTTGCAGACACAGGACGTGGGCGGCTTGCAGTTATCGAGTTGACCGTGAACTCCTCTGTAAACCAAAGTATTCTCGAGTCAAACGTGAAACCAAACGGGGTCAACAACAGGACGATGATCCCGAGCAGAAGCAAATCTCCAACAGAAAGGCTGAAAATTAAAAGAATGAAGCTGCTGCAACGGTCGAGTCAAAGCCCAGACATCAACCAGACAGAAATGCTGCGAGATGTGCACAAATGAAGAAGTGTGGGCCGAAATATTACCACAACGACATGAACGACCCATAAAGTCACACAGAAAACCATCACTGTAGCTCGTTCACACACTGTTGTGACATTCATTCAATTCAGTTCAATTTTATTCACTTAGCACCAAATCAGTCGCCTCATGTGCTTCACCGTATGCCGTAAAAACACACTGGTCAGCAATTAATGGCTTTTAAAGGCGCCGTCACCTGGAGTCAGGTCTGAATGTGCAACAGTGCACGGTCACATCCAGTCAATCACAACAACTTTGAGTTTATGTATCCTCGACAGCATCATCCGATCACTCCTGTCCGTCTGTCATGGTCAATGATCAGCGCACAGAGACTGAGGTGGACAGAAAAGCAGCTGAGGTCAGAGAGAGTAAAGAGAGGGAAAGACAAACACAGCACCAGAACCAGAACCAGCTCCAGTTACAAACCACCAGAGACCAGCTCCACCGCCGGGAGCTCCGGTCTGAACCCTGGCTGCTAATTATTCCCTGAGCTTGGTCGAAACTAAATTTATGGCACCGAGCTGGAGCTGCTCGTGGCATCATAAATTAAACCGGCAAACAGTGTTAGAATCAGAACCGACCGCCTCGTCCCCCGAGAAGAGAAGGAGACCAAAACACTGTAAACATGCGTGAAAACTCGAGGTTTTATAATCTTTTAATGTTTAATAATGTAAACAGTCAAATATGAGACCCACAAGTAATTTAAACAGGATAATATAGTAAAATTAAACAGATGTAATACATTAAAACTGTAATGCAGTACAGTCGTTGATGGCTGTGTAGACTACTGACAGAAATACACAAAGTGAGTTTAACGGTGTACAAGAGGCAATACTGACAACACCAGTCAAGCTAACAACATGACAGGTACTAACTGTGGCCCAAAACGACATATTTACTAATATTCAGGCGAAGCATTTGCATCCTGCAGGTCAAATAAAATCACCTGAGGTCAATTCTTAAGATTTAGGTACAGTTATAATTATGCAAAATACTTAACATATAAGCTAAAGCACTGCACACCAGGGGACACAACAGAAAGGCATTTCTGACATTAGCAGGGACTTCAGATACCAGCTATTCATTATTCCAGGAGAATTATTCCACACTAGTCAGTATGCCAAAATTCCCAGGATGTCCTGCAGTGACCTAAAGGCCCATTCTGGTAAACATGACAGCCACAAAGCTCGGCACAGTGGACATAATGCACAAAGTGGTGTCTCAGCAACGTCCTCGGCACAGGTTGATCCCTCCACTGTCCCATCAGTGGTTGTCCACACAGCCTGGACATCTGTTATGTTGAAGGAACTCGTTTTAAACCTTCAAAGTTACCGTCTGCTATGAAAAGAAGGAGAATAAATAACGTTTATGTCATGTTGTGAGAAGTTGAGTTAGAAGAAGTCTGAAGATATTCCAGCACGCTGTGAAAACGCTGCCTCCTGGTGGGGAAAGCTGTGATAAAACACGGAGAGGATAATGACAGTACAACAATTACAGTCATGAAGGCTGATGACATGGTGACAAACCGCTGGTTGCTGTGGTGGTGCAGGGCATGCTGGGATAGGTAACACCAACACAAGCTTTTGTGATGGTTTGCTTGCTTGTATAGTCTGTGTAGTCTTGTCTGTGTGGTCTATTTCCACAGTGCAGTGGGTGATGGTGGATGGAGCAGACCGTGGAGTCACCAGACTTCTGAAGCTCTTCTTCCACACGACTCCACCAGCGCACAGCCTCACTGTTCATGTTAGTTTAAATAAATTGGATGTCATTGTTCTTCATCCCGTGTCTCACTCTTCTTTCATGTCTTCTAAACAAGTGTGAGATGCTGACAGGTGAGAGTAGTGACAGTGATGTGTCCACTCAGGTGTACTGTGGCTGCTGGAAGACAGAATAAAGGCTTTTTAAAGTAGGTTTATGAGAAGCAAGTGTTTCGTGTTTTGCATCGATACCCGAGTATGCAGTGGGACAGGATGGCAGCTCACAGTGCTGACGACTGAAAACGGGAAAGGTGGAACAAAAGGTACCAACAATGTCCCAGATTTCAGTTTAGAAGGTTGGAGTTTGGATTTTTTTTACCTTTATAAAAACTGTGAAGCAAAGAATCATCCAGAGATGCTGCTGAGCGATAAAAATATCTGTTAATGAGAACAAAGAGACGCAAAACAGAAAAAATCTGCTGAAAAACACAGATCAAACCGATGAGTGGAGATTTTTAATTCTGCGCTTTTTGGCTCTTTTCAGTGATGTAAACTTTTTCATTACCCTCCTGTGCGTGTGTGCGTGTGCGTGCGTGTGTGCGTGTGTGTGTGTGTGGGGGGGGAGGCCTTTCCGTGTTGCAGCTTCAGTGAGTCATTGGTGGAAAAGAGGGAGGAAGATTTGAGGAGAAATATCGCTGTTAAATGAGTTTGGGCAGCATGACATCACGCGGTAATTAAACCAGTTTTCTGGAATTCCGTTTCCAATTCCTGCGCTCAGGTTCGCTGGAGGAGTTTTTCGAGCACCTGCAGGTTGGTGTGTGAGTGAAATATTTTCACTGGACGGAGTTCAAACTCTGGAGAGAGAGAGAGAGAGGGAGGGAGGGCTGCGGCATTACGCCATTCTTCCCTCTGAGAGAAAAAAAAGGGGGATTTAAAGAAGTTTCTTACAAGACTTCCAACAGTTCGCGGAGTGTTTATGCGCCTCTCAGCCCGGGCTTTGCGTTCTGCTGTGCCGGGTACATCTCTCCAGCACTATGCTCCTCACACATGACGCGTGGGACAATAAAGCTGTGCGGGATTTGTTTCTTCTGCTTGTAGACGTCCGTTACAGTCTCTGCTTTCACCGCCTGGCACGTGTCTCTGGCGAGTTTCAGGCGGGGGCAGCAGCTTTTGTGCATTTCTCGTGAGGATGACCCACTCGGATTTACTGCTCTTTGCCGCTTCAGCTTCCTTGTGATCTCACTGCACTTCGCTACGATGACAGCCTGGCGGGAGGCGAACGCGCTTTAGGATGAAAGCTGTGACGCGTCTGTCTCTGCTGCTCAGCTGCTGGACCCTGGTTCACCTGCACCCCGGCCCCACGGCGCGTGTCCGCGCAGGTCCGCCGGTTATCAGAGGAGAGGCGACCAGGGCGACCAGCTCAGGGCGCACGGACCCCGTGCGCTCCCGGCTCCTCGGCGGGGATGCGCACGATAAGGCGCACGCTCCCGCTGCCATTAACGCACATGCACGAGCGGGTGGAGGAGGTGGAGGTTCATCTGGGAGAAGTTTGGGAAAAGTTGCGGCCGCGGCTGCGCGCACCGCGTCCCCGCAGAGAGCCCATAGCGCGCCGGCTCCGGCGGCGCAGCGGGGGGCCGCGAGCCACAAACAGCCGCTCGTGACGCCGCACGACTACATGCTCGCGCTGTACTGGTCTCTCTCCAGCGGTGACGTTAACGGCAGCGCGCTGCACGAGGCCGGCCTGGCCAACACCATCACGAGCTTCGTGGATAAAGGGCAAGGTAACCGCATCACCCACGAGCCTCTCTGCGTGCTCCCACGTCACTTTTCAGTCCCATGAAAGAAACAGAGTGACAGTGACACGCTGTTAGTGCAGGGTTGGTGGCAGACACACACTCAGCTGAGCTGTGATGGGTGGGTGGGGGTCCACGCTGTGGGGGCAGCAGGACAGCTACTTCATGATGCGTTTGTGCCCCTGGTACTCTGGGAGCAGCAGCTGGAGCAGGAGGTTAGAGGAGATCTGAGGGGCCAGAGGATGAGCAGGGGGGAGGGGCTGTTAGCTGCGTTTAAAGTCTCACTTTAGAATCCACAACAAGTTCAGACCTCACATCTACAATTCATTAACAATTAAAAAATGGGGAGTATAAAAAGGATGCCACTGGAACTTCAGGTGCCAAAGAATGAGAGCTGCTTTAAGGGACTGGAGACCAGTGTGGGGGGGAACCAGACCAGGGTGGTGCTGAGGGCACAGGCTGAGGATTGTGGCGTTAAAATCAGGAAGTCAGCAGTGAGCAGAGTGTGAGGAGAAGGAGCGTTCAACAAACTGACAGCCAGTTAGCTTAGCTTAAAGAAACAGCTCCATCCAGAGCTAACAGAGGATGTGATTTAGCCGAGAAGTTTTAGTTGATCTCCTCTTCCAGCCGTGCGCAGTCATGTGATGTTTTAAATACTGAGGTCGGTCATCCAAAAGCTAAGGCTGCTCTGAACTCTCAGGTTTAGATTTTTTTTTTCTAGATTTGGATCTGTGTGATGTCAGTAAGATTAGATATCCTTATATGGTCCTCCCATCACAGAAGCCACACCCACCTGCTGTTTAATCTGTTTTTTGAGAGGCGTAGCCAATCAGAAGCACTATTCTATTTTTCTTTATGTATGTATGTTTATGTAAAAGCTGACTCATTAAACCACCTTGTGGTGCAAACTGGTATTACAAGAAAAAGACAGCTTGGCTTGAATTTGAAGGAAGTTGATCTCTCTTTAGCAGAAACAGAGATGATGCCTTCATTTAATTTGGGAAGGTTTTAAACTGCATTTGAACACAACTACTTTTATCAAAACAGATTACAGCTTTTAATCTTTACACCTTTTTAAAATAGATCCCACTCTCTGGACTTCCAGGTTCATGGAGGATGCTCTTCTGGGATTTTTCTGACAGAACCGGCTGAGCCAATAAATATATTTCATTTTCAGCTGTAAAATTGCAGTGTAAAAAAACCTAAAGGACACCAGTGTAGATTTAATTTAGGCCGCATACATCATCGATGCTGGATTTGTGAAAACTAAAATAAAACTTGAGCTTTTTTTTCTACAAACAGCTGGAAATAATTATTTAGCTCCTTTCACTCCTGTTTATTGAGGACTTTCTCACGGGCACCCTCCGCTGCACGCTTGAATTTCAGCCAGTTTGGTATTGACAGGAAGTGGAATGGCTCTCTCAGATTGGCTCGGGTCACCGCTGCAAGCGTAAAGTGGGCGGGGCTTATGGGCTTTATTGTAACCAGCCAGGAGGGGGTTACAAGCTGTGATGGCAGCTATGTTTGTCTATATCTGGTACTTTGGTGGGAGAAAACCAAACAGTGGGGACCAAGGGAGTGAGTTTACATGTATGAAATTAGAAATGCATTCTAATAAGCATTTTTCTAAAGACCAATAACTAATTAGTCTTGTAACAGCAGGTAGTGTAGCAGAGGAATAATTTGTGTTTGATGTTTCAACAGTTTTAACGTCTGGAACATGTCTGTGCACATGTATGCACATATTTATGTATATTTATTCCTTTGCAGTTGTGAGTCTGTGTGTGTTTCTAACATCTGGTCGGCTCTCAGTGATATATACGGCCTCGTGAGGGTAAATAAACAGTGCTCACAGCCCTCCGTGTCGTGTTGTCTTTACGATGTAAAACAGTTTTAGAAGCGTCTTTAAATGAGCGCAGTTTCATGTTCCTGCTGCTGCTGAAGGTTTACATTTCCACCACTTAATGTACTTTTAATGTGGCCTTTATTTGTTCAGCGAGTCGCCGCTGACTTCGTCCACATGCTGAGACGAGGAACTGATCACCCCGACGCTCGTTATTTACCTTCTATCCTTTCATTCACTCTTACTCGCTTCCTTTTTTCTGCCTTTATTCCTCCGTTGCTGCTGCCGCTCCTTCTTTCTTCCTGCCACAGGCAAGGCTGAACCTACCTCCTGAGGGGCCTAGAGCAAGACATTGCTCTGGGGCCCCCAATGCCACCCTGATTAGTCGATTAAAGTTGATCATTTTTGAAGTCATTTTTTCCTTTATTAACCCACTGATTTGTTTACCCATGTCAGGCCGTATAGTACAGCAGTGCAGTAAATAACCACTGAATGCAGGAACAGTAGGAACACCTGGTTTTGACTCCACCATCAGGCCTTTCTGTGTGACGTTTGCATGTTGTCACTGTGCGAGTTCACTCCAGCTTCCTCGCACCGCCCAAAGTGTAGTTAGTGGGGTTAGGTTAGTTGGTGCAAATAGTTAAATAGTCCATCTCTCCGTCTCAGCTGGTGACCCGCCTGGGATTAGGAGAGATTCGGTCATTTTCCCCCAGAGTGGGAAATCTTCACCTGGGCCGGGGCCAGTATGTTAAAAAAGCTGAAGCCACGTGTGCAAGTGAGCAACATTCTCCAGACAAAAGTAGTTTTTTTGTAGTTATATTACTTTCATAATTTTAGGAGTGGTGATCAGCCGGAAATGTCGAGTTTTCAATTTATAGATCACAAAACATTTGAATTTTAGAGTCTTTCTTAACTAAATCTTGGTGTTTTAGAGCTTTGTTTGAGCAGGTGACCCACATACTTTAAGGCTATTGCAGTAGTTGAATCCACTCGGGTTATTTGCTGCATCTTTTCCCCTGTCCACTCTCCACTCACCTGCTTAGATAAAAAGCCCTTAATAACAGCACTTAATAAAACTGTTCATTAATTTTAACCCCATGAACAGTAACCCATAACAACAATGTACTTTACACGCTTTAATAAACTCATCCAGTCGGCCAACTCTGACCCTTTCCTGGACCAGTTTTGGCCCCTGAACCACGTGTTTGATGCCCTCGATGTATCTGCTCATGTGACAAAAAGAAACGTAAATCTTATTTAATTTTGGTCAGTTATAATTTTACTGAGTTATAAATAAATGAGTTTGAAAAAGCTCTTGTTTTGGCACAGTGAGCCCTGTAATATAAATAAGTTTTGACAAAGTGCCAAAGTCAGACATCTCACCTGAGAGCTCTGCTGCTGCTTGCTGCCCTTCTGTCAGCTATTTTAAAGCCCCGCCCCCACTGGACATCCTGAAAGCTGTTAGTAGAGGGATGAAGTCAGAGTTAAGAAGCCAAACGTTTAATCTTGTGTGTTCTGCATACACAATAATCTGTTCCAAGCCGCTGCTGAAAGAATGTGATTTTCTGAGCGTTCTGAAGTGATAAAGACCACACCTGAGAGCTCCAACATTATTTATCCTCGCTGATTTACAAGCGCGGGAGAGTTTGTGAAACCAAATTCCTCTCAGCTTTAATCAGACTGTCCAAAGAGGAGTGTGTGTGTGTGTTTGCTGTCTGTCTGCTGTGAATAGCTGCAGGTCCACAATAACAGGCCTGTTTACAGACCGTTGCGGTCTCCCGGCCTGGTTCTGATGTACTTTTCAATGCATGATAAAGTCCTGGACAGCAGGAGGGGGTGCTGTGAGAACATGTAAGCAGTTTGTGTGCAGATGCACAGCTAACTTTGCGAGGACCAGAGTGATTTCTCTGACCTTTGAAGTGAGGACATGTGTGGAACATGAGGACAGTAGTTCAGAGGTCTGTTTGAAGGTTCAGGGTTGATCAGGGATAAATTAGGCTCAGAATCATGAGAATATATTAGCCGACCTGGGTCCTCACAGAGAATTTAAAACACATGTATCTGCTGGGTTTCATTGGATAAGGAAGTTTACAGTTTCCCTCACTGACAACAACAGAAAACCATCTACACCCTTCAGCTCATGCTTTCTGATGCTGTGCACACAGCATGAGTGTGTATACTTGTTTTACATATGTTATGGGGACTTAAAGCTTTTCACTTACCCGTGAGGACATTACTTTAATTTGAGGACAATTAATATAAAGTAAACCATAAAGTGTAAACACAAGTCTTTGGATGCTCATTCTTATTATTTATGTCAATTTCCTTCATAATGCCTGCAGTAGTTTATTGTAGATATGGCAACTGACATCATTCACCAGTTTTTGCATCTGTGGTTTGAAGCTTCAACATTTACATTTTGGCTACCACCATGTTTTTATTGATTTATTTATTTAAAGCAACGAGTTACCATATTTGGACCAGAAGGTAGAGAGCTCAGTTACCAGCTGTTGGTAGCCCTTTGTTAGCAAACTGCATCTATAGCACTAATTAACAGGTGTCTGTATTGCTACATTACATCCATACAGTCTGAGTAGCATCATTAAATATGTAAAATCTATTGGTTAGAGTGTTTCAGAGAGCCTGTGAACAAAGATGGTGTGTTTTGTAAGAAGCTATATAGCTAAGAAGCTAAGAAGCTAAATAGCACTAGCTGTTTAGTGCTAAATGCTAATACAGAAATTTTAAAACCAAAAATCTATTGGGAGCCAGATAAGGAGCACAAAATAGGGGTGATAATCTGGCAGCAGCATTTCGTATTGCAAAGAGATGCTTTGCCCAAGATGGTAAACGGGGATCAATCTAAACACGATGACACAAATGCACGAATATGTTTTTCCAGGTCAGCAGAGGAAACCATGTGTTGCAATTTAGAAATGTGTCTTAAATGAAAGAAACAGGAATGAGAGCAAGTTGAAGCCCAGAATAAAATGAATATTACACCAAGATTTCAAACACAAACAAAAAGAAGCAAGAGTCTGATTCTTTGGATGTACTTCAGGAGGAACTGTAAGCACGACTTTAGTCTTGTTGGCATTTAAAACAAGGTATCTGCCAGAGAGCCAATCGCTAACCTGGTAACAGTGTACTAGGGTGGACAACTGGTGGGGGTTAAACAACAGTTGAATGTCATCAGCACAGAATGATAAAAAATTTAAATATCAACGTCATCAAAAAAGTCAACCAGGTGTGGAGACCTGGAAACACTTCTTATATACTGATGAATGGATTCACCTTCATATGGTCTTCATATAATCAGCTACATGAGACCAAAACCCACTTTGTGTGTGGAGTTTGCATATTCTCCCCACATGCACTCATTGATCAATCTAAATTTCCCATAGGTGTGAATGTGAGTGCGAATGGTTGTCAGTCTCTGTGTGTTAGCCCTGTGACAGACTGGCGACCTGTCCAGGGTGACAGCTGGGAGAGGATCCAGCGCCCCCCACGACCCTGAAAAGGATAAGTGGAAGCAAATTGATGGATGGAAACCAAAACCATTTGAATTGTAACAGGATATAAAAATGTTTATATTTGTTGTTAAGTTGGACATTTTAACATTTGATGGTATTGATGGTATTGATACACCTTTGAACCAATGGATATTTGAGGAACTGTAGTTCACTTCACATTTTCGGCTATTATGATGTTTATGATGATAAAAAAAATCCCAAAATAAAGTCAAGAATGCTGTTCTCTCCTTTTTTAAAAGGGTAATAAAAATATAAACAATAGTAATGTTTTTATAAAACAGACAAGATCCAGAAAAACTATTTTACCTGGAGGAAAAATGTAAACAAATGGTAAATGGCCTGTATTTGTAAAGCGCTTTACTCGTCCCTAAGGACCCCA